CATGCCGATCATTGCGTTTCAACCTGCTCGTTCACCAGACCTAAACCCGATCGAGAACATTTTGAGCTTGCTGAAACGATGAATGGCGGCACAAACCCTGCCAAACTGCAGATAAGCTGCACAAGGCATCTGCCAAAGCATCAAGGCATCTGCCGATGTGGCGAGTTTAGCAACATTCCATGCCAAACCGTCTGCAAGTTGTGCAGGGTAAAACACATCCATCGGAAAGAGTAATACGTGAGTTTTCCAATTCGCTACAATCGATCTCGGGGTGGTGATCGTGTCTTCTTCATCACCACTACAGCCTGGACAGCCTTCGGGAAGACATTTGTCACTCTCCTGCTCAACACATTGCTACATCTAGATTTGGTTACCGTCAGGGAACGAAATAGAGCTGCAAAACACCAAAGTAATTGTTTTCTTCCATTCAATTACACTGTTGAGCATGCACAGCATGGTGACAGCTAAGCAATTCGCACGTCATCATGCCCAATTTCCAAATATGGAAGGTGTTATTTATAAAATTTGACACTGTTCCTCTTCTCTGATCGGCTCGAGACATAGCTCATCGGAATCAGTGCCCAATTCCCCTTCGGATAAGACATACTTATTGTTGGCGTACAGTTTCCCACAACGTCTGTCTTCCAATGACACCATGTGTGAAGAAAGTGAACAGAAAATTGAAGACCAACTTCAACTTAACTACTATCCAGAGAGCCTCATCATTAATGCCCGGGAAGCAGCAAGGAAACCCAAGCGTCGCCGCCGAGGTAATCCATGTTGTGCGTTTCTGAAGCTGTCATAATAAGTCAGACCGTGTGCATCACAGCGTCAGCAAAGCTATCCGGAAGCACAAGTTACCAGTCTGGGTGGTTTGCGAGCATGCGGGTAGCCTCAAATGTCAGCTCTGTCACTCAGCACAAGGTCCGCCCAGCTGCATTTAGGAGCCAAACATCAGAAAGACAAAGAGAAGAGGACGCCCAATGGGACCATATCTGACTTGTATGTCGGGTGGAGTGAAAATATGTTTGAGGAGGAATGTGATATACCGTCTGCAATGCAAGTTGTGCAGGGTAAAATACATCGGAGAGACGGGTCACACACTGGAGACGAGACTGGAGGAACACAATGTTGAAGCTCGTAGGCGCACTGTGGAGAAGCCCTGGGGTGACCACATGTGAGCTAAGCATGCAGGGATCAACCTGAGTGTCAGGGACAGCATCTTCTCAGCAGTGTCTGTGATTGCAAGGTCCAGTGACAGGGCAAGCCGCAAATTGTGGGAGGCAGTGGAGATCAGAAACAAAGGCCCAGAGATCAACACCAGTGCTGGATGGTCATTACTCTAAAACAGTCACACCACACTGGTTATCTACAGTTGCGCGCATGTGCTGTACTGATGCGCATGCATGCTTACACCAAAGGGTAAAAACCGCGCCAAACAAAGACAAGAGTAAAATTCATTTCAGTTCAGCACAAGTAAAGAAGACAGAGATCGTTTCAAAGCAGTTTATTTCATACACACACCAGCAGGGCTTCAATATTTGTGTGGCCGCTGTCTGCTTCGATTAGGGCTTCAACACGACGTGACATTGACTCCACGTATGGGGAAACCGTGTCAGGAGCCAACAAGTCCCACACCAGGTGCAGTGCCTGTACCAGCTGGTCAGCATTCTCGCAGCGATGTGGAATTATTCTCTTCTTGTCAAATCTTGAGAAGAGCCCACACATTCTCGATTGGATTCTTGTCATGTACAACCTGACCTCCCGTACCCGTATGACTCCCGTGTATGCGGAAACCAACCTGCTTCGTGTACACCAGCTCTTGCATGAGACAGTGTGCTCGCTGGCCTACCGGTACCGGTGCCTACATTCCACCATGGAGCAGCCGCTGATCAGCGCATTATTTGGAGATTTTGTCACTCCGACTAGGGCTGGCCAAACAAGCGGCTCCCAACAACATCTGCTGCAGCTTTCATCCAGAACTCATCCCGTGCCTCTTTCTGCTGCACGCGTTTGGAACAGTCTTCCACCTGATGCGAGAAACATCACGTCCCCTCTCCAGTTCAAGGGTGTGTTGCACGCGTATTGTCTTACTGTAGCGTGACAGCAACCCCCCTCCCCTGTCTTGAGTACTAGTATGTAGTAATCCTGATGCTCTGATACATACCGAGGCTAGCTGTATGCTCAGTATCCGGCTAGCTGTATGCTCAGTCTCCGGCTAGCTGTATGCTCAGTCTCCGGCTAGCTGTATGCTCAGTCTAGACATTCTTGATCTTATCTTCTTCTTTTTTCCTTTCTCTTTTCTTTGAAATGTTTTACTGCCAGAAGTGGTCTTCATATAAGGAGGCAGACATGCCTGTTTGTTGTTCGACTTTAAATAAATCCAACCAACCAACCAACCAATGTCCGGCGAACAGGGAGGTTGAAACAGGATGTTGGGTAATCTGCTATCGAGAGAATCATGCTGTGCTTGGGTGAAGTGAATGAAAGAAATTTGGAACTGTTTTAGCATCCAACACGTGCACTCCGAACTTTTACGCGAGGTGCGTACCGTTGAGTTCATATGCACAAATCGCCAGTGATGTAATGGGAGCTGGCTTGGCGCCAATTCGCGGCGCCGCCTTCGCACTTCAGGCCGGATTTCACTGAGCGCAACTGTAGGTGACAGTATTTTCTCGAAAACACTGACATGGTCCCTTTCGTGTATTGCTCGCGAGAAACCTGTTCAGACATTTCTCAAGTTATCTGGTGACATCTGCGCTGTGCTAACTGATTACTGTACTTACTACCAACACACAGCATAGAAGTCAGTGAATGCTTGTGATCTTTCACTAGTTTTAGACATGTCATATTCATAGCACTGAGGTAACATGTGTAGTCATAGAAATATTAACACCTAAGAACACCAAATTGATGTATATAACTTCTCCTTTGCAGACTTCCACTTCATAGCATCCTGATGAGGGCAAAAACGTTGAGAATGATTCTGAGAAATGAAAATGAATTGTGAATTTGCAGTGCCCAGGGAATGAGCATGTGTGCTCACCAATTCTCTTCGAAAAAAGAAGCAGCAATAAAAAGAACTTTTTCCGGTACACACCTGGAGGTTGAACAGCTCTTCTGTTCGGCTTTGTTGTTGTTATAAAATCTCATGAAAACAGAAATGGCTAGCAGCTTTTATAGGCAACAGACCACATACGCTAACGTATTGGGATACGCTTACGTACGAGGATACGCTACAATCAAGCAAGGCAGGGAAACTACACAATGTACATCTTATCCAAGTCATGGGGTGCGTATATCGGAAAAGAGATTTTTTGCGTAGTTCTGTTATTTTGAGATGTGGCAAATGCGTAAAACACGGTATAAAGAGTATTAAGAAATTCTTCCAGGAAGTGATTATACATCTTATCAAAAATCTACTTTGTTCTCCCAGGAGTTTGCGGTCGAATAAACTTGTTCACCTACCTGCTGGGCTGTTTGACGCGACAACCGAATTAGAATTCCTGTAAGTCATGTTGTGCATGTATCGTAAAAAGGCTTTTTTTTTGGCGTTGTTCTGTTCTTTTAAGATGTGGCATCTAGGCATATGCGGATAATGCCGGCAGAAAATTGGCAGAATTCGGTACTTTTCCTTGTAAATTCCATGCATGTTTGGTATATGGATAAAGAAATTCGAGAAATTGCCCGCCATAAGGTTTGTATCGTTCTGCCAATTTCACTGCTTTTCGGGCAGAATCTGCCACCTTTTCGATGATTATCCGCCAGTGCCCAGTGGCATCTCATTGGTTGATTTGAGGTACCCTTCCCCACCCTTTATGACCGATATTGGATGCCGCTCACGAGGTGGTCGCAACCAACGTAAGCGAAAATGTGGATCTTCATCCACCCTGTACCGAAACCCGTGCAGAACGAAGAGCAGCCTTCTGTCAGATATGCTCTTCTTGCTCCTGGGTGCTATTGTCCTGATCTGTCAAGGTCTGAACTGAAAAATAGCTACAACGAGATGTGAGAGCAGTGCTTTTCTTCCCATTGCGCCTGTTGGACGAAAAATGAAAGAAAAGTTCGCTTTTATTTGTTTGCAGCGTTGACAGCCTTGCTCTGTGACGACTGTCGGCTCTCCAAAATATGAATCATGCTTTCCTACGAGTCCGAAATGTCATGTCAGTGTTTCAGGTTTACAAAACCAGAGAAAGATAGCGAAATAACAGCAGCGAAAAGTACAAGAGGACAATTCCGGTATATGGATTGATAATGACAATGACCCTCCAGACATCTGTTTCTGCGGTGTTGGTGATGTGAGTGCAGAGTTTGGATCGGCTAAGAGCGCAATGTGGCGGTGTGGTGTATTGCTCTTGATATTTCTTAACAATATCACTGTAGCCGATATATTCTTTTATCCGGTCACTCAATAGCCGTACACAACTCAATACAGAAGAAAAAAAATTCTCGTACAGATACCTCTGTATCGACCTGACGTCACTATCACATTATACTATAGTTATGCGTAAGAAAAAAACGTTCTCTTTGGCCTCAACTTCTTTGCTGTTCGGTTGGCCATTGTAGACATCGACTAGTGCGCAACATAAATCCCTAAACTGGTGACCCCACACGCTGCCCACTTCGGAGTTTTCCCGATGCGTGCCATCCCTGAGCTCTCGCCGCAGTTTCCTGCTCGTCTCCACTCTTGGGTGGCCGTCAATCGCCGGCCGGTAACGTAAAACTTGAATCTCAGCATCATCCGACACTGGATCCGCCTCTGACTGCTAAAACCCTAAAACCCTAAATTGGTGACCCCCGACATGCGCTCTTCGGAGTTCTGTTATTTTGAGATGTGGCAAATGCGTAAAACACGGTATAAAGAGTATTAAGAAATTCTTCCAGGAAGTGATTATACATCTTATCAAAAATCTACTTTGTTCTCCCAGGAGTTTGCGGTCGAATAAACTTGTTCACCTACCTGCTGGGCTGTTTGACGCGACAACCGAATTAGAATTCCTGTAAGTCATGTTGTGCATGTATCGTAAAAAGGCTTTTTTTTTGGCGTTGTTCTGTTCTTTTAAGATGTGGCATCTAGGCATATGCGGATAATGCCGGCAGAAAATTGGCAGAATTCGGTACTTTTCCTTGTAAATTCCATGCATGTTTGGTATATGGATAAAGAAATTCGAGAAATTGCCCGCCATAAGGTTTGTATCGTTCTGCCAATTTCACTGCTTTTCGGGCAGAATCTGCCACCTTTTCGATGATTATCCGCCAGTGCCCAGTGGCATCTCATTGGTTGATTTGAGGTACCCTTCCCCACCCTTTATGACCGATAATGGATGCCGCTCACGAGGTGGTCGCAACCAACGTAAGCGAAAATGTGGATCTTCATCCACCCTGTACCGAAACCCGTGCAGAACGAAGAGCAGCCTTCTGTCAGATATGCTCTTCTTGCTCCTGGGTGCTATTGTCCTGATCTGTCAAGGTCTGAACTGAAAAATAGCTACAACGAGATGTGAGAGCAGTGCTTTTCTTCCCATTGCGCCTGTTGGACGAAAAATGAAAGAAAAGTTCGCTTTTATTTGTTTGCAGCGTTGACAGCCTTGCTCTGTGACGACTGTCGGCTCTCCAAAATATGAATCATGCTTTCCTACGAGTCCGAAATGTCATGTCAGTGTTTCAGGTTTACAAAACCAGAGAAAGATAGCGAAATAACAGCAGCGAAAAGTACAAGAGGACAATTCCGGTATATGGATTGATAATGACAATGACCCTCCAGACATCTGTTTCTGCGGTGTTGGTGATGTGAGTGCAGAGTTTGGATCGGCTAAGAGCGCAATGTGGCGGTGTGGTGTATTGCTCTTGATATTTCTTAACAATATCACTGTAGCCGATATATTCTTTTATCCGGTCACTCAATAGCCGTACACAACTCAATACAGAAGAAAAAAAATTCTCGTACAGATACCTCTGTATCGACCTGACGTCACTATCACATTATACTATAGTTATGCGTAAGAAAAAAACGTTCTCTTTGGCCTCAACTTCTTTGCTGTTCGGTTGGCCATTGTAGACATCGACTAGTGCGCAACATAAATCCCTAAACTGGTGACCCCACACGCTGCCCACTTCGGAGTTTTCCCGATGCGTGCCATCCCTGAGCTCTCGCCGCAGTTTCCTGCTCGTCTCCACTCTTGGGTGGCCGTCAATCGCCGGCCGGTAACGTAAAACTTGAATCTCAGCATCATCCGACACTGGATCCGCCTCTGACTGCTAAAACCCTAAAACCCTAAATTGGTGACCCCCGACATGCGCTCTTCGGAGTTTTCATCATGCCATCCCTGAGCTCGGCTTGCCGCAGTTCCCTGCTCGCCTCAACTCTCGGGATCCCGTCAATCGCCGACTGTTGACTGTAAAACTTGAGCCTCACCATCTCGAAACTGGATCCGCCTCGGAGCTAGTGTGGCCCCTGCCGACCTCCCGGCTATTCTGTCACAGCACATCGTTCAGTCGTCTTCGCCTTTTGTATTCACCCTGGCTTCAAGCTGGAAATTGGCCACCTCCACCCCAAGTATCAGTTTGCAGGCATATGCCCGGCACAGAACTTGGAGGCAAGCATGCCTCCATCAGTCCTCGCCTTACACGGCACGCCTCGCCCAGTGTTTCCTGTACTCAGTGACTGGTACGTTGCAGCCGCCTCTTTACGCCTACATTTCCTCTTTTCTTTCTTTCCAACTCTGACACCCGCCTCTGTCATGCATCTCTCTCTTTTCCACTTTCTGCTTTCTGAGTTTTGTTTTGGTCTTTGTTGCCACGTTATCAACAAACTTCATACAGTACACGCAGCGCTCTCTTGTACATATTGTATTATATGTTTGCCTTTCCGCCTTGTACATGCCGCGCTTCCTTTCTCTTCTCTCCCTCTTTTTCTTGTTTATCGTGCTTTGCGCCTCCCGGCCTCACCAATGGCGGGGAAGTACTGTAGGAAAATGACGTCACTATCACATTAGAAGCATGCGCATGATCATAAAACATTCTCTTAGGCGTCACCTTCTTTGTTGTCCAGTTGCCCTTTGTAGCCGTCGTCTAGGGCCCGATGTAAAACCCCTGAACCTCTACCGTCTACCTCCATCAATAGAGTGATTCTACTCTACCAGGAAGCTAAAAACGAATGCAGCCTAGAAGGCGGACTGGGGTCCTGGGGACTCTCTTGGTGCTTCAATGGCTATCCGGGATGCGTAGGAATCCCCCCTAGCACGTACTGCAGCTGGCTACGATGATACTTCCTTTCACGTTGGAATTAGACGTTCTTTTACTGGAGAGCTCGAATCTCCTCTCGAAAGTCCGCAATGGCGGCTTCCTTTTTCTGTTCTTTGGAGGCTGTTAGACTTTTCAGGTCCGCAATATCTTCCACAAGAAGACGCACTGTCTCCCTCAGCTGATTCATGATCGTAAGCATCCTCATGCTGGCGGCTTGAGGGTCCATTGGTAGCCCAGTCTGTATTGTTAATCGATCATTTGGCTGGATTTTTTTCCCGGAGTGCTCCGACGAACTGACCTCGGCTGAGGCTGGCCAAGACCACATTGTTGGCCCTTGCTAGGCTTTCCGGCCCTAGCTATCCAGAACATCAACATCTATGGTAGCCATACTCTCCTTGGGAGAGCAGGGAATTGGACGTAAAAGAACCTACAACTGCGCAGGGGAACGACGAAAACGAGTTCATGAGCCTTCGAAGTTGGAAGGTATTTGCCTTGCGCCTTGGAGAAGTGCTCGAGCTGGATGTCTGGTTGCTGAATGTCTCAGTACTCCTTGTCAGGTTTGTGCCATTTTTTGTACTCGCTGATTGTATATGATCTGGTTACGTTGTTGGCCATTAGCAAGCCGTGAAACGTCAACGCGCACGAGAACGAGTTCTTCGGAACACACGTGAAAAACGCGTAATTTAGGATAAGATTCTCACGTTTACAACCTGCCTACACGAGTCGGCTGCTTTCCAGTTTCTAACAGTTTTCTGATGTTTTATACTGGCGACAGTGTGTTGCGAAACTTTTTCTTGAGAACAATTCTCAGCCTAACTGACTTTTACCCGAATGCGACTGAAAGAAACCCCATGACAGCCATCATAGCGCCGATGGATTGTTGCAGTAAAGGGTTCTGTTCACGAGGTCCATGCCCAAACATTCTCAGAATGACTTTACAATGGAGCAAGCCAGTTGAGAATATTTAAAAAATGTACATTTCAGAGCAGTAGACAAAAATGAGAGAGCACGTGTGAACAAGTCTAATTGCTGAGCACTGTGGTTACCCTCGATCCTGTTCTGTATCCTGTTAGTAATGGCTATGATTAAAACCAATGGTCCTACTGTGTTAGGTCTGGTCCTAAGTGCCAAAACACAGCATTACTAAGGTTCGTACAGTTATTGTAATAATCAAGGAACAGAAAGACGAGGAAAAGGAGCTCAGATTCTCGGACCTAGTTCAGCACAGCAAGCATGCAAAACCAGCCACGAGCTTGCGCCTTATCACATCACGTAACCAGCAATCGCCCCCCCAAGATTTTTTTGGGGGGTATAAAATTATAAGCAAAGAGGCAGTCTAATTTGGCGCCGACAGATATAGAGGTAGCTGTTGACAATACAACGGCAGGATAATGCAAAAATAAAAAGTTCAAACAAACAAACAAGCATTGCACACACGAGAGAGCTTGAAAGCTCAGGGCCCTGCGCTATGCTTTTTTGCCTTGACCTAGGGATGTTATAATTTTTTTCATTTCTCCTATTTTGTTAAGATATGACCTGGATTCGACCCCGCACTATCGCCCTGCATGCATCACCCGATACACTTCGCATACATACTACTTCTTCCAAGTTGCTTCACGTTATGATCTTGCATTTGAAAGCCCTACTTGAATATCGTGGCCAGCTCTTTGCGGCCAGCCGTCTTTCATGGTGCGGTACGATACGGGACGATCGAGGGTAATACACCGTCTACCACATTGATGACCTAGGCAAAAAAAGCATAGGGATGACAGTTTTCAATTCTCCTAATTTGTTTAGGCATAACCTGGGATTCGAACCCGCGCTATTGCCCTATATGCATTCCGCCATACACTTCGCATTCATACTCATTCTTCCAAGTTGCTTCATGTTATCATCTTGCATTTGAAAGCCCTATTTGAATATTGTGTCCAGCTGTTTGTGGCCAACTGTGATTGATGGTACGGTACGGTACGGGACAGATACGGGATAGCGCCAGGCGTGACACAAACAAAAAAACAAACGAGAGAGCTTGGAAGCTCAGGGCCCTACGCTATGCTTTTTTGTCTTGATGACGTAGACAAAAAAGAATAGGGATGTTATAAATTCTTATAAGTTTCTACTTTTTTGTTTTTAGACATATTAAACCTGGGATTCGAACCCGCACTATCGCCCTGCATGCATCCCCCGATACACTTGGCATACATACTAATTCTTCTAAGTTGCTTCACGTTATGATCTTGTATTTGAAAGCCCTATTTGAATATGCATTGTGGCCAGCCGTCTTTGATTGTACAGTACGGTACGGGATATGTACGGGACAGGTACGGGACAGGTACGGTCGAGGGTAATACCACCTTGATGACGGCAAAAAAAGAAAAGGGATGTTATAAATTTTTCAATTATCCCATTTTTTCAGGCATTACCTGGGATTCGAACTCACACTATCGCCTTACATGCATTCCCCCATACACTTCGCATTCATACTCATTCTTCCAAGTTGCTTCACGTTATGATCTTGCGTTTGAAAACCCTATTTGAATATTGCGGCCAGCTGTATGTGGCCAGCTGTGTTTGATGGTACGGTACGGTACGGGACAGATACGGCATAGCGCCAGTCGTGACACAAACACACAAACACAGAAACAAACAAACAAACACCAAATTAAAGCTGTGTGGACCCTGGCTAGCGCCAGACGCTACTGAAGTAACGTCTTCTGCATAGCTACGGCAATAAATACCAAATTAAAGCTGTGTG